AAAAGTATACGAGCCATGATGATAGGCACTGCCAGCGCATTTAAAATTCAGAGGCTCCAAAATTTATTTGAAACAGATTTTGAACGCAGGTTAGAATTGTGGTCATGGTTTTTAAAAAAAAAAAGGAGAAGATATACAATTTTTTTCTGTCAAATACTATTTACTGATGAATCTACTTTCCATAATAACGAATTTGTAAATAGACATAATTTTCATTATTACAGCACCGAAAATAAACACAAATTTCGGAATGTAGATCGACAAAGCTGATGGTCGTTAAACGCCATCGAGATAGAATGAAGTAGATGTAGAGACGATATAAAAGTATTTTTCGATATGACAGATAGACGCATTTTTGAGTGATGGAAAAGTGTGATCAAAATGGCGACTTAAAGTCAATAATGTTATATTTCAAGATTGACCAAATGTTTTTGTATCATTTAAATGAATATATTTAAAAAAATGTCATTTATTCGCACCAAAAATAACTAGTTCCATTAGCTCGAGTTTGACATAAAATTGTAATACATACAAAGGTGCGCACACTCTTAGCATCGTCATAGCATCTCCTCATTATTCTATCTCAATGTAAAACATTTATGGTGGAATGGTAGGAAGGCAGTTGGTGGGACCCTACTTTTTTGATGTCCATTTAAATGGAAGAACATTTATACATTTTTGAAGAAAGATTTCTGGAACCTTCTAGAGGATAATCCTTTGGATAGTAGACAAAATATGTCGCTGCAGCTAGATGGTGCACGCACCCATTTTTCGCATAATGCCAGGACTTATTTAAACTAAAAATAAACACGATTTTAGTTTGCTATTATTAATTTAGGGATTTTGAGAATGGACAATAATGGACATCATTTTGAACATTTATTATAAATTTTAAATTTATTGATAAATTTTGGAATATATATGTTCATTAATGGCTTTGTTAAAATAAAACTATTAGTAGATGAATTTTATTGATTTATTAAAACTATTGATAATAGGTTCAAAAATACTGTAAATATGGGTATAGGAAACCTTATAGAACTTTTAAACTAAATACAATTTTCTTATTGTTGGTACCGTAAAGTACAGAGTGCTCCATTTAAATTAACGCAGTGATTAAATAAAACATTTTACTGTAACAAAACTTCAAATTGCAAACACCTCCGTACATTTTTTGAATATTTTAATGATTCTAATAAAAAGTTACAACATTTTGTGAGGAACTGCCAAAAATTCGTTAATTAATTTTTATGTAATCAAGAGTAATTAATTAATTTCGACAGGACTACATTTTTAAAAATTGTCAAATAAATCGGAAATTATCAAAGATAGGTATAGGAAATCTTTATTAAACTAAGATTATTATTGAAAGTTTAACTTAAAATTAAAAGAAATTAAAATGTGACCTATGTAAAAAAATATATAACGATATTCGTATTTTGATTTGGGACACCCTGTATATATGAAAGTAATTTTAATTTGTAGTCGCCGTTAAGTTGTACATTTATGCCAAAGGAATTTTTATTATCGTTTGCATTTTACCCACTAGGCTTCGTCCCGTTCAGCGTGGCGCACCCTGAATATATTTTTTTTTTTTTGAGTCTTATTTACTGTTCCTAATTTATTTTAATTTTTATGCTCTGAACTTGCTTTATCCTAAAAAGATGAATAAAGTAATATTAACATAAATAAATGTTTATTGTTTTATTTCCACAACATGTTACGCCTCTGGTCGAATAGCATTGGTATATGGAATACGATTTCCTACGGCATTACGAGTCATCTCTTTATTTAGCAACGGACAGTTAATTCTAACCAAACTTTTAACAATATTTGATATATACTCGTACGTTTCAGTTTTTTTTTTTGTGTCATCGGCATCAACTGCTAAGGTTATTAGCCTCGTGTTCTGTGTAGGCTTTGTTACTATTCCCAGCGCCACTTTAGGAACAGCACTGTTAATTAGAACCCAACAGTGAATGGTCGAGTGGGAAATCCTACCAAGGCATCAGAATTAATTTTAAATAATTTAAATTAAATAAAAAAATCCCGGCCAACGGTGGGATTCGAACCTGAGACCCTTGGATCCACAGGTAGATATTCTACCACTGAGCCACCTACCCCGTCGTTTCTACAGTTATTAATTTTTTTAATAAATATTATTTGCTGAACATAAAGACTAATTTAAAAGTATGTAATTGGTTACTGATTGATTATATACTTGATGCATGTTATCTACTTACTGTAGAAATGTATTTTTAAAAGTTTAAAGACAATAATATATAGGTAATTTTGGTAAACAAAACGAACAAAACGCACTCAAAAAAAAATACTGTCATTGTAATTGTCAGTGGAACCAAAATTACGTCATTACTAATTTAGCGTGTTATAAAAAAAGAAATCAGTGACATTACTCAATACTTTTAATAATGTTCAATGTCCAGACAAATTATAAATTGTAGATAAAGCACTTTTAAAAGTTATAGAACCTTTCTCAAAACCTCAGCCTACCCTGATATTAGAACAGATTGTCATGTCCTTCAAAGTAGGTTTTTCTTTTATATTATCGCATGTTTATTTCTATATAATAATGTTTCTACCATCACTATTCAAAGAAGACTTAAGTTTTCCGCGATTTGACATAATTTGACATTGTTGTCGCTTGCAATAAATAAAACCAAGCTAATCGGTATTTTAAAAGAAAATGTAGACTAATCTGAATATTTTAATTAAACATCTAATATTCGAACCCATTTCCATTAATATTTAAACGATAACTGAAATAGGGGTCTATTCTGTAACAATTCCATTATATTTAACGGCCTTAAAAAATATTTTCTTCTTTACTTCTGTCATTATTTAAACGGATCTTTAAAATACATTAGAGGACTATCCTAAAGAAATCTGTTTAAATAATGACAGAAGTAAATTAACGAATACGAAAATATTTTTAGAGGTTGCCCATATTTTTTAAAGGCCGTTAAATATAAAGGAATTGTTACAGAATAGACCCCATATCAATAATAGATTATCACGTTTTCAATATGCAGGTAGATAGGCAACACAACATACACATAGACGCTTAGGTGGTGGTATATGTCAAATAAACAGAAGTAAAATTTGAATTTGGTAATGTAGAGATATCTATTGCAAATAATAACGTCAGTCACTAATTAAACCGATTGTGTACCTATTTATGAGACATTATTAAAAAAAATTATAAGTAAAAATATAGAGCAATGTTAGTACTTTACCGCAAAATATTTAAAAATTAACCGTATGGATTTGATAGTACTGATGTCAACCTACTTCTTATGACAGACAACTCCGGTCTCCTCTATTATTTCGTTTTTAGGGAAAACCACTAGTAACGTACTAGTATTAACTGTTCTGACAGTTATTTAAGTGGTCGTAGGAAAAATTATTTTCCTACGACCACTTAGGAAAGTGACACATATCAGACTATATAGTCCTATGGAAAGTGCCCTATATCACACGCGTATGAATTAGAATTTACTTTCCACCCGCGTACGAATATGCTACTTTCCGCAGTAGCTGTCAGAAAATATCAAACACATAATTTCTGTTTTGATCTATGTAATGTCCACATTAATACTAAAATCGATATGATTGTTAAATTATTGAAATTGTTGTAAATTAGATCCTAGATATTTATCTTTAACAATTATTATTAAAATAATTTTAAAATATCTAAGATATATTTGCTTTTTATTCTGGTTAAACACATAGGCGATTAGATCAATCAATTACCGTAAGGCCTGATAGCTCAGTTGGTTAGAGCGTCAACTTTGCAATTTGAGACCGTCCAGCGACCGCGTTCAAATCCTGGCTGTGTCCAAATTTAGAGCTCAATGATGTCTTTGTTAGTTACGACAAATTTTTTTTAATAATGAGCAACTAAAATATTACCATGATTAGTCGTAAGTGACCATCTACTGTATAGAAAAACTTCGAGTTAAATATTTATTACAACATCAGTTTTTTCAAATAGGGGTCTTTGAAATGAGACATGTTTAATTCACGGGAGCCCAAAAACTAATAAACTACTCTATGTAACTTAAACAACATTTTCGATATTTAAATAAAACATTTCTAATTGTAACTAAAAACAAAAACACTTATGCCTAATAAATTCACAGCAATATTATGTCAACTGAGATTTTTATTAATTTACTCGTCTTCTTGTACAGGATTTTCGGAAAAAGGCAAATTATTTCAAAAGTTTATTCTAGTAATGGGAATAATTACACGAAGTCGGTTTATGAGTGTTTTTTCTAGCTTGACATGCCACGACAGACAGTCTTGCATTTAAGTAGATAAAACTCTTTTAAAAGTTATAGAACCTTTCTCAAGCTCAACCTACTTTGACATTAGGACAGATTATCATGTCCTTTGGGGTAGGTTTTTTATTTATATTACCGCAGGATTATTTCTATAAAATAATGTTTCTACCACCACTATTCAAAGTAGACTTAAAATTTCCGCGATTTGTCATAATTTGACATTGTTGGCGCTTGCAATAAATAAAACCAAGCTAATCGGTATTTTATAACAAACTGTAGACTAATCTGAATATTTTAATTAAACATCTAATTATCAAACCCATTTTCATTAATATTTAAACGTTAACTGAAATATTAATAATAGATTATCACGTTTTCTAGATGCAGGTAGATAGGCAACACAACATACACATACACGCTTAGCTGGTGGTAAATGTCAAATAAACAGAAGTAAAATTTGAATTTGTTAATGTAGAAATATCTATTGCAAATAATAACATCAGTCACTAATCAAACCTATTGTGAGGCATTATTAAAAAAATTACAAGTTAAAATATAGAGCAATGTTAGTACTTTACCGCAAAATATTTAAAAATGAATCGTATGGATTTGAGAGTACTGATGCCAACCTACCCATCATGATACACAACTCCGGTCTCCTCTACTATTTCGTTTTTCGGGAGAACCACTAGTAAAATACTAGTATCAACTGTTCTGTCTGTTATTTACGTAACGTTCTGTAGGTATAAAAATAAATTAAAAAATATTTCCAATATAAGTAAGCCAAGTCTGATATGTCAGTGACATTCAGATGTTTCTGATTATCTGACAGTTCTTTTCATTGTTGAAGTTAAAACCATCATTTATAATAATAGTTATAATTTAGTTATTCTAAAACATTTTTATTCGATTTAATAATAATTGATCTCGCACACTGTATTTCCAAGATATTCGTTAAGTCTAAAATATACTGGAATTTCAACATAGAGTAAGAAATATGTTTAATAAATCAAAAATTAACGTTATACACCACATGGTATTAAACAATGGGACAGGACTTAATCCTGTTGAATCTTCAACAGCTCAAAACGGTGCCAGTGGTAGTCATAGTATTAGAAGTACACCGAATGCCAATGAAATACCTCAAAATATTCAAAATGTGGACAAGCCTTCGACTTCGAAAACCGACACTAACAATAGAGATTTTATGCCATTTGGGTCTCGTCCCGGTGAGAAACTCTTCATACTTACAGGGACAGTCGAAAGAGTCATACACTGGAACAAACTTTTATCCAAGCAATTCTGCTATTTTGAAGTTATCGCTGCAGTTGTTTCTATCCAGGAAGGTAATGTACGCACCCAAAAAATCATGCTGTTACGCGACAGAACTGGACCTATACTGCAAGTTATTTATTACATGCTTACACATCTCGCTATTGAAGATTTTCATTTAGGAAAAATGATTAGATGTGTAGGAAAAATGATTGGTCCTAATATTTTAAATGCTGTTAGTATTAGGGATGCATCAAATGATGAAGTTGAAAGTTTGCATAGATTAACACTTATATCTGAACAAGCTGTAAGTACGCATTTGAAAAATTAAGTGGTTCTGTTAGAAAAAATAAAATATTTTATTTTAAAATATTTTGATTAAGAATTAATGTGTTAAATACATATGAACTATGTTTAAATATTGTTCTTGATAACTATTTGAAGCTATAATAAATGTTCATGTTTTTTAAAGTAGTTTGAATCATTTCGATAAATCAAGTACACTAAATATTGCTTACTAGGGATGGACAATATTTCACGTCACAGTGATTTTGTCACTAATATAGTTTTGTCACTGTTACTAAAGCTCTCTGTGACTCGTGACTTTGAAGTTATTGTTGTCGGAGGCTATGAATCGTTATGAAACGCTTCAACCAGTATTTTATAAGTTCTATATAAGTAATTTAATAATTACTCAGACATTTCATAAATTTTATTTTTTGACACACTAAATCAATCATCAATGATAACAACTAACTACTTGTATATTATAAATTGAATACTAGCTACTCTTCCTACTTCCTATTTAGGTAGCTCGTATTCTAACAGTTGTGATATGACAACAGTTTTACTACTACTGGGAACCGTAAGAAACTATAAAAAAATATTAGAGTTAAATCATAAAACGGGAGTCATGCCCTTATTCCCTTATGTATGTTATGCCATTTTATTCTTAATAACTTAGAAGCCATATACGAGATAAACGACCATTTTACAAGTCAATAATGCCACTTGTCATATGTCATTTCAAATATTTCGTCGCCCTTATCACGAAGTGGCATAAGTAGCAAATAGTAAATTTTACAGGAAAGCAATAAAACGGAAATTCGTAATTCTCAGGTCGACATAATATAGAGGATTTAGAGTTTCGCTTTCAAAATGTTATCATGGAATACTAAGACCTTGTTTTATTATTTCGTAATTCCAGATTAGCCAAACTTCCTCGGGATTTAAAAAAAAATTAAAATAGTTATACCACTTCGTGACAAACAATTTTCTCACTTTAACAGATATACCTTAATTAAGTATATTTTATTAATTCAGTTGTCATTGTTTTTAAAGTAATAAAAATTTTATGTACGTTTTATCTGCTTGTGATTATATTTAGTACAGATTCAGGAAATGACAAACAAATAAAAAATATGTTTAGTGAATAATAATAAACATGACTGAAAACTAATGATTAAAAATAGTTGGAATTGCGTTTAAAACTATCATTCTTCATGAGGTAATTCCTGATATTTCTGCAATTCAGGTAATCGAACCACAGGCATTTGACTTTGACTCACGAAGATTAGATCAGAATATTTCTTGCTTGTTAGTTTTACTGGTTCTGTGTTGAGAGATTCTAATTTAATATCACAAATATTTTCTGTCGGTCTCTTTATTTCAATACTGTCATACTCTTTATGGTTATGACTTCGTTTGAAAAAGAAATTAAAAGGCATGTCTCTTCGAACCATAAATTCCATAATTTCTTATAGATTTTAACAGGTTTTGAAAATTCAAGAAATCTGAGTACTTCTTTGGAATGACGACCTATGATTGTTTTCTTCTGGCCAATCGAAAAATTGGGTACCGTTGTGAGGGTTCAAAAAGATCCACAGCAACTATTATCGCAGTATTTATTGTACTATGAGCACTCTGCCCATGGTTTGTTTCGAAAAACCTTAGTAATATTTTTTCATAATTATCAAAAGATTTTTATTCTGGCCATAGCAGCCGTCCGAGTAGAAATTTGGTCTTTATGCGTAAAATATTCCAAAGATTTATAAATAGATGTAGAGATTTCAGAAGAACCCTCTGTTGCTCAAAGTTTCATTCAATGGAAAGCAAAGATATTCTTTGGTACCAATATTGAAAAAAGTAAAGTTAAATGTTGCTAATCTTGTTTTGTACTAAATAGCATTCTCTTTGCTTCTTGGCAAGTATATAACTTGTAAATCGAAAACTCTACAGAGAAATGATTTGTTTTCTATTTTTTTTTCTACAGCTTTAAACTCTCGTACTTTTTGCTTCTCTGCAATATGCCGTGAGATCTCCTTGAAAGTAAGATATATAGAGGGAACATTTCTTTTTTGGATTGTAGAAAAAAAAATTTTGCTATTTAAATAAGTTTCGGAACGTACTATAACTCGGTTTGTTAGTAAAATTTGTTTTTTCAAGATGCTCCAAAAACATATTTTATATCTTGGGCAAGGATAAGTCACAATGTAGGTACGAGGGCGGGTCAATAAGTCCGTGACTTTTTGAATTTCCCGCCTCTTAATTGAATTGGCAACAATGCTCCCGTCAACAGTCATCTGTCTGTTGACTCTTGTCAAAAATTAAACAAGCTGCGACATTTAGTTTGTTTTTGACAGCCGTTAATATCAGACTACCTCGTTGACTGAGAAGAAAATGGAAAAAAGTAAATTTCGTGTGCTCATAAAGCATTACTTTTGCGGAAAAAATCCATTACGCAAACCAAGGCTAAGCTTGATAAATATTATGGGGACTCTGCACCATCCATTTCCATGGTAAAAAAGTGGTTTACTGAATTCCGATGTGGCCGTACAAGCACGGAAGATGCCGAACATTCTGGACGCCCAGTTGAAGTCTCCACATCGGAAACAATTAAAAAAATCCACGATATGGTTTTAGCCGATCGGCGATTAAAAGTGAGAGAGATTGTGGAAGCCATAGGCATCTCACATGGCTCAGTGGTTTCAATTTTGAATGATCATTTGGGTATGAGAAAGCTTTCCGCAAGATGGGTGCCGCGATTGCTCACAATCGACCACAGACGCAACCGCGTGACAATTTCGCAGGAATGTTTGGCGTTGTTCAGTCGCAATATGAACGAGTTTTTGCGCCGTTTCGTAACCCTGGACGAAACGTGGATCCACCACAACACACCGGAGACCAAACAGCAGTCAAAACAGTGGGTTTCTCGGGGTGAATCGGCGCCAAAGAAGGCAAAGGTGGGTTTGTCAGCCAATAAAGTCATGGCGACTGTTTTTTGGGATGCACACGGTATTATCCACATTGACTACCTTCAAAAAGAAAAAACAATCAATGGTGAATATTACAGCAACTTATTGGGTCGATTTGATGAGGCATTGAAAAAAAAGCGACCGCATTTGGCCAAGAAAAAAGTCCTTTTCCACCAGGATAATGCACGGGTGAACACATGTGCAGTTTCCATGGCAAAAATCCATGAATTGGGCTACGAATTGCTCCCTCATCCGGCCTATTCACCCGACCTAGCCCCGTGTGACTATTTCTTGTTTTCGAACTTGAAGAAATGGCTCGGCGGAAAGAGATTTGCCTCCAATGATGAAGTCATCTCACAAACAAATACCTATTTTGAAGACCTCGACAAATCATATTTTTCGGAAGGGATAAAAAAACTGGAGACTACGTTGAAAAATAAAATAACTTTGTATCTAAAAACCTGTGTTGCATTCAAAAGTCACGTACTTATTGATCCGCCCTCGTACGTTCTTGAATTTGTCGATGTAGTCATAAGATTCTACACAAAATAAACATGGCATCTATTCAGTTAGGTTGCAGTTTATCCTGTGGATCATTATTATACTTCACTTCTTCACTTAGATTACCTAAAGTCACTTCGAACAGTTCGTGAGGAAAATATTCTGCGTTATTGCAGATAGGACACAGAAGTAATATGATGTATTGCATGCACTATTAAGGTTGTAGATGTGCCACTTCGTGAGATGATAGAGTAGGTCAAGACTAGTTAATCCGCACAAAAAAACATTTTTTTAATTTTTGTTGGTTAGCTCACTTCATGATAAGGGCGACGATTTGTATTTTTTATATGTATTTCAATAAATTTTCTATCTTTTCAATAACTTCTTTTTTATTAACCGACTTCAAAAAAGGAGGAGGTTATCAATTCGTCGCGATATTTTTTTTTTATGTATGTTCAGCGATAATTATTTAACACGGTGTCCGATTTCAATAATTCTTTTTTTGTTAGAAAGGGGCTACTTCAGGGGTGGTCTCATATAAATTTGGTCAAAATCTAAAAATTGGGTCTATAATAAAATCCTCAAACTCTTCATTTTTTATGTATGTTTAGCGATAATGCTTTACTATTTTGTCCGATTTATATGATTCTTTTTTTGTTAGAAAAGGGGTACCTCAGGGGTGATCCCATATAAATTTGGTTAAGATGTTGTGATGGCATCTGCACGTTTTTGAAGTCGGTTTTTTTAAATTTTTAATTTACACTTGTTTATTAACCGACTTCAAAAAAGGAGGAGGTTATCAATTCATCGCGATATTTTTTTTATGTATGTTCAGCGATTATTCTTTAACACGGTGTCCGATTTCAATGATTCTTTTTTTGTTAGAAAGGGGGTACTTCAGGGGTGGTCCCATATACATTTAGTCAAAATCTAATAATTGGGTCCATGAGAAAATCCTCAAACTCTTCATTTTTTATGTATGTTTAGCGATAATGCTCTACCACCTTGTCCGATTTATATGATTCTTTTTTGTTAGTAAGCGGGTACCTCAGGGGTGGTCCCATATAAATTTGATTAAGATGTGGTGATGGCATCTGGACGTTTTTGAAGTCGGTTTTTTAAAATTTTTAATTTCTAATACTTGTTTTGAACTAGTAATTTATGGTGGTTTGACAAAATAGACTAAGAAGAAAGATGGTTAGATTCAATAGAATATTAGTACTTTTGCTCATTTGCTATTACTTTTGTCACGAAATCACTGCTTAAAATCACTACTTAAAATCACTGTTATTTAAATGTCATCGCTGAAACTTGAAAAACACGATATCGCCCATCTCTATTGCTTACTTACAAGTTGTATAAATAATATTTGTTAAATTTACTCGTGTGTATTCTCTTTAAATGTTATATAGAGTGATCTCCCGAAAATTTAGGATGTAATTATTTATTGTGGTAAAATTTAAGTTGGGATCTTGAATTTTATATGTAGATTTCTCTACTAAATCACAGATTGAGAAGTCAATAGCCAGATCATGATGCGATCCCTATATTAGTGATGACGTAATTTGTGTTTCAA